AATGAAAGCCAAGTATCTGTGGACAAATTATTTTCTGAAAACCAATAAACTCTTCTTGACCTCTCCCCCACAACACACATTTCTTATTGTGCAAGAATTTCAATGCTATTAAGTCTAACCTTGCGGCTTGGTAATATTTTGACCTACTGAAGTCTCTTGTTAGCTGAGGCATAAGCAAGTCCTGTGATAGGGAATAAAGGCTAGAGCATTGGGAAAGGCAGTCTTGTCGCCAGAGAGCAGGAATTCCTGTTATCCAGAAAAGGCATAGGATATGGTTGAATAAGGCATGATCATCGTTGCTAATATGTTATGAGGTTAAGATACTCTCCCATTGGTAAGAGTGAAAGAAAACAGCCCTACTATTATCATTATGGACATCTGTCTATGTTCATCTCAGGCCTAGCTCAATTTAGAAAATGTCAGTGGAAAGATAGACAATAAAGCTTTATGATGTTTTAATTTTACTTTTATCATCAGTGTGATGGAACAGAAAAGCCATGCGGCTTCTTGTGCTGCAAGGTTCTTGCTATTGGAAGCACAACGCCAGCAGAGATGGAGCCCCTTATTGTCTGCCCATTCTGAAAATACATAAGGTAAGGTGGATTTTGTTCTATGAAGAATGCCCAATGTGAAAAGGTTGGAGGGCTGTCAAACTTTGGATTTGCTCCAGCACAAAAGCGTCCTACAAGATTGTTGATAGTGTGGTTAAACAAAAGAGGCCACATGCCATCGGAGAGATCTTAATGAAGCCAAAGTCTCAGAAATGGTCAATATGTTCCTTGGCTTGGAGCAGAGGAAGAAAATCTATAAAATAGTGTTTGTATTACCTATGTAAACAAATCCAGAATTACATTTATTTTAGTATTTTGAGGCAAATCATGAGGAATTGGTAACTGTTATTTCACTTTTGAATATAGCTATTTGACAATTCTTAGTTCAGTTCCTTTTTTCACATAATTCTTTCATTTACTTATCAATCCTGTATTGGCAACTATATTTCAAGTACTGTTTTAGGTACAGAAAATACTAAGTTCTTTCATTCTAGAAATGGGGAGACAGTCAACTAGCAAAGAAATAAGTAAGAAATTATGAGGTGATAAAAGCTATGAAAAAAAATGCATGTGAAAGAGAGCAAATGGGGTGATAATCTTCGACTGGGTGGGTAGGAAAGGTCTCTTTGAGGAGGTGACATTTAATCTAAAACCTAAACCATCAAAGAAGGAGACGGCTATGTGAAACTCTAAATGAAGAGCTTCAGGCAACCTGATATATTCAAGACAAAAATTCTAAAGTCTTCAGCTCCATTTGGAAATTGCAAAAGCCACCCACATGTTTAGAAAAATTTTTATCAAACAAAATTTCAAATGTATAGGACATATTATTCCTGGGAGAAAAATAAAGTATTACACTTGGCAATATTTTTGTGGATTGATACATGTTTGTATCTGCTTACTTCTATATTATTTATATGTATATAAATCTATTTATTTAATATATTTAATACATATTCAAATATTTAACGTATTTACTTATAAATATATATTTATAAATATACATAAATATATATTTATATAAATATATATATTTGAATATATATTATTTCAAAAATATCATGATTTTCTTTGGTGAAAAATAGATCATTATTATTATAATGTTTTCAGCAGCAGCACATAAAAATACCGAGGACTATCCTAGCAATCCTAAAAGAAGTTTCATCTACTCACATGAAATGCTGCCAGCTTCATCAGGACCAGAGCCTTGAACCATGCTCTTTTCCAAGAGGCCTTGTTAAGAAATAGGAGCAGAGCCCTGGCCAGTTTGGCTCAGTGGTTAGAGAGTCAGCCTGCGGGCTGAAGGGTCCCAGGTTTAATTCCGGCCAGGGGCAGGTGCCTCCGTTGCAGGCTCAGCCCGGCCAGGGCGCACGGGGGAGGCAACCAATCCATGTGTCTCTCGCACACCGATATTTCTCTGTCTCTGTCTCTGTCTCTGTCTCTGTCTCTCTCTCCTTCCACTCTGAAAAGCAATGGAAAAAATATCCTCAGGTGAGGCTTAAAAAAAAAAAAAGAAATAGGAGCAGGATAAAAACCTTTTCTATACGACACAGAAGATCATTGACATTCTAGAGGCTGTGCCTTGAAGCACTTGTCTGATATTTAAACCAATAATTCATTTAAAAATAACAAAAAGAATAATTAGAAAGAAATAAGCTCATTTGTGGTTTATTTGATGGCTAGTGGATGTTGGGACTGTGTGAATGTGAGAAATCCTTCTCCTGAAGGCAGTCACCAGGACGAATACTGTCAGAAAACGAACAGTGTTTCAGGAGATGCGGTCTGATGTCATCTCTTTCTAGACTAGATCAGTGGCAGGCAATCATATAACTTTGCAAACATGGAGAAAGTACTTTTGCACAATATAGCAACAGTGGAAAAGTTGTGGCAGTTACTCCACAGTCGAAAACCTGCAGATACCATTTAAAGACTCAGAAAACCTTAAAATTAAAGCAAGAACAGTACACTACAGTCTATAAGCAGCATTAATAAAGTAGATCTCATTGACTTGAAGACAATGTGATGTCCCAAAGTGCCTGACTTTGCCAAGCAAAACAACAAAAATGCTCTAATTCTACGGCCTACTGCATATCTTTGTGAATTACGGTTTTCAGCCACACTTGCCTCAAAAGGAAAAGATGAATTAATTACTTGGGTTACCATTGTCTTGCTTCTAGTTAGGCAGAATGGTGTAGAGCACAGATACTGAAGTCAGAATGACTAAAATAAAATTCAGACCCAACACCTTCCAACTACATAAGCTTTAAAACACTCTATAAGCCTCGGTTTCCCCATCTGTAACACATAATACCTGCCTCAAAAGTGGCTGACAGGATTAAATGAAATAAGGTATGTGAATTTTTTAGCATTGTACCCACAATATAGTAAGAATTTTTTAAATTGTCTGTTTTATAATATGAAATAATGAAATACCCATGACTCTCCCCTTAAAAAAAAATAAATTAAAAAACAATTCATCTATATACCCAAGTAAAGGGACCAAAGGGAGACCATTCAATAATTACATAAGATGGGATGAGAGGAGGTGGAAAGAGATGGAGTAGAGTGGAGTGGAACGAGTGGAAGGGAGCAGAGTGAAATGAACCTAAATTTACCAACTAAAACAAAATCTGAATAAAATGCACAAGGCAAAATATAGCAGCAAGCACTATCAGTCTTTTAATCTTTCTCTTTAAATTATAGCAGTAACCCTCTTCTCTTCAACTGGGCTTACTCAAAAAACTGAGGGGTGTCTCCTATATAAAGAGCCCATTTAAAATTCTGCTTAGAGGAATGAAACGTTTGTCTTTTCTGAGGAGCTGGGATGCTTCTGCGTGGGATCTTTGTTACTTACAAGGCTCGGGGATATGTTTGTATTTATTTTGAACAACTCCCCCTAGCCTTTGACTTTCCTATACTTTCTGTTCCCCACCCTGTCCTCTTTCTTAAGATGTTTTTGTTCTTTGGTCCTTGTTTCAATGGTCCTGTTGTAACTGTGTCCTTTATTTCAATGGTCCTGTTGTACCTGTGTCCTTTATAAGTCACCACAAATTTCCCTTTAAAAGTAGATGTCATTATATGCATAGCCCATGGACACAGATGGTAGTGTGGTGAGAGCCAAAGGGGGGGGGCAGGGCTGGGTGAAGGTGGGCAAAGGGGGGGAGCATCTGCAATAGTGTCAACAATAAAAAATTGAAATTAAAAAAGCAATGTAAAACCTTTTAAAAAAAATATAGGTGTCATAAAGGAAGGAAGAAAAAGGGGGGGGGGGAGATTTCTTAAAAGTATACCTTTAAATAAGGTCTTCTAAATTTAGGAGCCCTAATCGGGCAAACTCTAGAGTTCATAATTTTTTAAACTTCAACTAAACTACTTTGTAAACCTTAAACAAACAAACAAAAACAGATTTCCCCCAAGTTTAAATTTTACTGTTTTTGTTCTGATAAACTTTCCCATGCTAGTTCTCTAAATCCTATGGATACAGTATCCTTGAAATATTCTTTGGTGGGAAAGGAAAAACCAGATCTATTCTCAGCTACCGCTTCATCAGTAGCCTAAGTGTCGACTCCTGTTTCCTACAGAGGGTCTTTTCAGCCAGGAGAGGTGCTCCCTCTGTCCGCCGCAGCTACCTTCTCAGAGGGCAGACCGCCTTTCCTTCTGCCCTCTCCTGACTGGCATTATTTACCCTCATTTACTCAGTTTCGTTAGAAACTGTCTGTTTCCTATAAAAAGGGAGTGCTGAGCACATCCAGCTTTGAATTCCTGCTAGAGAACCTGCACAGCCCAATGGAACCGTGTGAGGGCTGTGGAAAGTGTGCATTTCTGGGCCTTGCTTTCATCATCGTTCTATACATCACTGCCCTTCCCACCCCCTTTCCCTGGGTCAGCTCTAGCACATAGCAGGCGACTCACAAATATTTCTTGAATAATCAGGAAAACTGTTTTCTAAATTACATTAATTTCTGAGTTTTCTATACCTGAAAAGTGAGAACTTTGTGTGCAAGTCATGATATCATTTTATTTACAATCCTAGAGAAAGCATTCTTAAACTTCCTTCTTGAAATGAAATTTCACTCTGTGTATATTTGATTATGTGTGTATGTGTGTGTCCATAACTATTTTCCTTTCTTAGATTTAGCTAAACAAATCCAAACATGGGCTATTAACGATTTTAATTACTCTCCTATCCATTCAGTCAGGACTTAAAAGAGCATAAAGAGGCCAATTCAGCTGTGCCATCTGTCACCTTGCCCACTCACACACATGCAGTCATGTATATACAACCAGAAGCCACCCATCAATTGACCCTTGTCTTTTATATTTCATAAATAGCACCTTGGTGGACAGCCTCAGCCTAGAAGTGGCACTTTTCAGTTCTGTGGCAGGTGGCAGGGACAGAGGCTCAATGCCTTCTCTTGCTCTAAGTTAAACATAGGAGGATGACGTTACCTCTCTGGATCCTGACAATGACCCTCCAGATGCTCAGTCCCAAAACGATGGTGGTCAGCAGCCCACACACGATGGCCACCAGCGCCCTGAGGTCACACACACGGCAGGAAGCCATGGGAAAGCCAAACCAAAAATCCACTCCTGAGTGAGAAACAACTAGCTTCTTTTCTTCTCAAGCCAAAAATAATTTTATAAAAATATTTTTTCTTTTTAAAAACCTATCAGTCAGTTGTCCTCATTTTAAAGGATTTTTTAGGGCAATCAGGCAAGATGCAGTCAGAATCACCTAATAAAAGGCACATACTCTGCAATTTCCTCACCTTCACTGAGTGAGAACATGAAAAAAGTGATTGGAGTCTGGGAAAAGGAAGATAATTCCAGGGCAATAAAGAAAAGGGGAGGGAATTACTAACAGGGCCAAAGGGTAAATGTCCTGACAAGCAAGAAAGTGGGGAAGGGAACAGAATAAAAGAAACCAGAGAGGAAATCAGGAAGGCTGTGGACCTGTTGGTCACCTGTGGCTCAGCTTCCTAGGCTTTTGTTAGGAGGCTCTCGCAGAGGAGAACAGCACACAGACCCCCTCTTGGGGAAATTAAGTAGGGTATCAGCAAGTGGTTAAAGAGCGACACCCACACGTGAGTCCAGTACTGGCACTTCCTCAGGAGCCCACACTTTGACAGCCGCAGTTGGTGCGTGGCATTCTAGGCACAGGGGAAAGCTCTGAAGCCCAAGGTTACAACCCATGTGTTATGGGCTGAGTCCTGTCCCCCTAATGATTCATATGTTAAAGGCCTAACTCCCAGTGCCTCAGAATGTGACCTTATTTAGAAATAGGGTTGTTACAGAGGTAATCAATTCAAAAGGAGGTCGTTACAGCGGGCCCTAACCCAGCATGACTGGTGCCCTCATAAGAGGAGGTTCGGACACAGACATGCCTAGAGAGCAAGGGAATGTGAGGAGGCACAAGGGGAAGATGGCAACACCTACAACCCAAAAAGAAAGGCCTGGAACAGGTCCTTCCCTCCCAGTCCTGCGGGGAACCAACCCTGACTTCCAGCCTCCAGAGCTTGAGACAAGAGGTCTCAGTTGTTTAAGCCACTCAGCTGTAGTACGTTGTTACAGCAGCCGCCGCAAACGGCCACCGCCTGAGTCAGCGTCAGCCTCTGCAGCTGCAGCTCCGGCTCTCTCCGGCCCCGGGCCCCATGTTCTCTTTCTCTACCCCTTCTCCACCCTCAACAGAAAGAATGAATTAATAAATTCACCTTCTCAGAGTTCTATTCCTGGTGGATTAACAACAGTTTTCCAAAAGAGGACACATTTAAGCTGAGTTTTTTCAGCCCCCAAACAACTGTATATTTTCCCCTATTCTCTATAATACCTTATCAAAGTACAGCTTTGGGGGACATGATCACAGGCTCTAACCTTGACCCCACCCAGGGGTCTCATAAACACACAGTGATGTACCTGAAAATGGAAGAACTTAGAGGTAATGCTGCAGAAGCACAAGATAAATGAATGTGAATCCATTATCTCACTGTGAATAGATTTTAAAATATCTGTTTCTGATATATATGCACGTACATGCACAGAAAACGACTGGACGTGTACATAAATCCCTCTTGGAAATCTGAGGAATCTGATGAGAAATGTATTTATTATTTTACACCCCTTTTATGATTTGAAGTTTTTTACCTTATGCATTTACTATTTTTTTCAATTATTATAATAACTATATTATTTCTTCAGTTATGAAACAAACCATTTGCAACAAGAAATGTAAGAAAAAAATACCAAGCACTGTGCTATGCACTTTACATACCTTTATCTCACTTATTCCGTACAATCACCCCCATGTAACAGATATTTTCACCCATTGCATGAATGAAGAAAGGAGACTTGGGCAGGTATTACTCTAAACGGAGTTAAGGTAATTTGGGCAACACTAGGTTACATAAAGGTGACAGTTTCCTTCAACTTATTTTTCAGAGTTTTTAATATGTTCATGTACATTGCGGTTTGTGAAGTTCCCAGTATTGTTAAACCACAGAATCCCTCTCTTGGGAAGCATCCTTAGGACTGTGCTGTGGAAACATGTCCTGCACATTCCGCAGAACAGTCTTGGGTGAACGGCAAGACTGCAGGAACTGCTCCTGGGACCCAGGCTTGCCACATGGCAATTTTTTTTTTTCTCTTATAGGATTCCAAATATATTGGAGGGGTTATAGTCTAGTGACAGAGAACTGATTTTGGTGGTGCTCAAACACTCTATCTTCTACACTTAATGGAAATGCTAGAAACCTGGGATGCTACAGTAAACATAGCTTCTTAGTGCTTTCATGTCTTCATCTATATGACCTTGGACAAGCTATATAAGCACCTCAACTTCTGTTTCATGTTTCAAACAACCTAGCTAAGGCTTTTTGTTCCTGAAAATTTCAGTCCTCATGTTATTACTCAGGGAAGAACCAGGTATGTATATGGTGGGGATAGAAGCACTAACCCAGAGCAGATGTTAAAGCCCAATGGGGTAAGGAGGGGGGCTTCAAGGGGGAGGGCAAAGTGTAGGGGCAGGAGACGTCAGATCCCAGGCAGGGCGAATGAGGCATCCGTCATGCGGGGGGGAGGCAGCCTGGCATGGGCGTCAGAACCAGGGGATAAGAAAGGTGTCCAGGCGATGGCCCAATGTGGGAATCAAAGCCAGAGCAGGGAGAGGAGGGCATTCCTTCAAAGACCAAGAGGGGTCAGGAGCAGGAGGACAGACAGAGGCATGGGTGGGCTGGAGGGAGGGGAGGTCAGAGCCACAGCGAGTGAGGAGGCATCCACAGGGGTGGCAGTCTGAAACAGGGGTCAGTCCGCACGCAGGCGGGGAAGGCGTCAACACATGGGTGGGAGCGGGGGGTGAGGGTCAGAGGCTGACTGCATTCCAGATGGTCAACCAAACAGGTAAGCATATGAGAATAATTGGAGCCAAGTTCTTTACTCTAGGAGAAGGGAGTTACAAATGTGGAAAGGAAGAGGAATTGGATTCCATGAGAATTTGAAAACAATCAGAAATATGAAGAAAGAAAAGCTACGTGCGTGCAGTTAATTCTGAAGGGAAGTGGCTGTCAGATGGATGCATGAGTCAGTTATGAACTTCTTATCCAAAAGAGGAAAACTTATGGCTGCAACAAAGATGAGCATTTCAAAGGAAGGAGCGTGATATTGCTCCTTATTTCTAATACTTGAACTAAATAATTTCCATTGTGCCTTAAAAAAAACCCTGTAGTGTTGGGTTGGAATTGTATGTGTGCATAAATACAAACTCATGGTAATATATATATATATAAAATATTTCAATATCCACTCAATAAATATATTTATATACAGGGTGGGGCATAAGAAGGTTTACAGTTGTATGGAATATAATACAATAATTAGTCAATAATAATACAGAACTGTCTTGTGTACTCACAACTGTAAACCTACATTTGCCCCACCCTGTATATAAACAATATAGAAGTAAACATAGATGCAAAAGTGTGTTAATACACAAAAAATGATATATGTGCACGTTTATGATATATATCACAAACTTACACACCTATATTCTCTAGCTCTGGTCATTCACAAGGTCTGGAAGCAGTGACAATCCTTTAGCAATGAGCACACCTAAAGCCTAGATCTTGACTTCTAAAAGTAATTTTCCATTAAAAGGAACGTGGCTCCCTGGGAAAATGGCTAATTCCCAGACGAGGGCAGGGAAAGTCCAAGATGAGCCTAGAATATCTTATGACAGAAAGCGAAGACAAATTCAAGCAATAATGGGTATAAATCAAACGGGCACGAAATCCAGGAAGAAGTGATTCCCTGACACCAGATGAAGGACAATTTCAGCATCAAAATATATCCTTCTTATAACACATTATAACCCATTAAATAAAATAGGAAATCTACTGAATCTGAAACTCTGAAGGTGGGGCCCAGCAATCTGTGTTTTAACTAGTCCTCCAACGTGATGCCCGCTGGTTTGGTACCACTTTTCATGTAATTCTCCCAAAGGGAGTAAATCAAGTTTGCAGTAAACTAGCAAATAGCAAGAGATTAAATGGCTTTTTTGTGTAATAAGGCATTCCTTTGCTATTGTGTATGGGAGATCTCATGACTTTAATCATTGCCAGATATTCAGATAAGTAAGCTAAATTCATAAGACGCCTATGTTTTTTGTCATCTGTGAAACTACTATTCTTCCATTTATCTTATTCATTTATTTAACCAGATTTTTCATGGGTTTATACAAGAAATGTTAATTTCTGAAATCCCTTTCACAGGAACACCTCTGTTTTATTGCATTTCACTTTATAGCACTTCATAGATGTTACATTTTCTTATAAACCAAAGGCAAGACCTTCTCCCACAAAATTATTACAACTTGCTTTATTGTGATACTAATTTTAATACAGTCGTCCGGAACAAAACCCACCATATCTTCTAGATATGCCTGTATTTCCCTACCATCTGGACTGTGACCCCAGAAGAGAGTTTTAAGTACACAGAAACCTGCTTACCTTACCTCCCATGACATTGATGACAAAGGCCAATCTCAACTTCCCCACCTGCTACACCTTAGAAATGAGCCTCTGAGTTTCTCCATTGGAAAACCTCCCAGTAGCATTTGTTATTCCTTCATTATTGAAAACTCAGAAACCCTTAAACCCACCCTCTTTTTTCTACCTGGTCTTCAGTGAAGGGTAGGGAGAAAGGTATCAACAAAGCTTTTTTTAACCAGGTTACTGACCTTTCTTTGTGCCTTCCCACTACAATGCCTTTGTTCTGCAGGCACCTCCCACGCTCCCCAGACCCAGGTATTCCAGATACCATCTCCGGGGCAGATTGCCTCGTGGAGGGAAAATTAGCATCTGTTTGTGAAAAGTGACTCACTTCACACTAGTAGAAGTTTGTTGCTATGAAACTAAAACATGTACCCATGGAAGATGCTAAACTCTGATTAATGTGACCCTGAATTAACCTCTCTGTGCCCCAGAAGATGAAAAGAAACCCTCAAATCCTTCTTTTAGTTTTAAATTTACTTCTGCATCTTGCTCCAGAGAACCTCAGTTTCTCCATCTCTTCTGA